GGGCTCTAACCACGGTAAGTACCAACAGTGAACATAAGCAATTAATTAAAAAAAAAATCTTCTGAAGATAATAAAAACATATGTTTGATCTGCGAGTAGAAATTTACCAAATAACCTTTTGTCAACTTCATCAACCCCTGACAAAGACTTACATTCACATCAGGTCGTAGTTTGATAAGAAAACGTTTCCTCTTGAAGCTCAGCTTTCGAACCTTAGCCCAGTTGAAGGCATTGATCTTGGTGTGACCCTACAGAGAACAAAGCCAGCAGAGTTTAAGCATTCCAGATCTAAATGGAGAAATCTAAACTACTAAAGAAAGCTTGTCATAAATTAGTCACCTACTGACTTCACTTTAAATGATGATATTTCTTACCATTCATCCTCTGCTAATGCAAACCATAAGCATCTGGTGCTGTGATTGAAGGCAGGTACTTACGCTTAAACTCTTGCATATTTATAAGACTAGATATACTGAGTTGATGAGAAAGTATCTGACTCAGTACCACTGCACAAAACAGGGTGGCCCAGCTTTTGCTCAGATGATATTATTTTGTTCCACTATGCAGACTCAGTGGACTGAGTTACCTCCCAGATGTGCCTCCTTTTCTTTCCACCAGCTACAGAGAATGCAGGGAATCCAGACACATAATATGTCACCTCACTTTGATGAGGTAGATTTCCGTCCTCTCTGTCTACATGGCAAAATAAACACCCCTCTAAACACTATTTAACTGGAGGAAAAAACCAGCAACTGAAAGTTTTGTATTGGAAGTATAAAATACTGGGAGTATTTTGACTTTTTATAGGCAACAAGAGAAGTAGGAGGGACCTAAATAAATTACTCTCTGAAGAGTCACAAAATGCTTTTCCCAAGAAAAGCAACCAAAATCCAGAAGCAAACAGCAAGCCTGAGAGAAATTATCTTCAAAATACTACAATTCCCAGCCACTGCATCAGCCCCTACCCCTCAGAACCCTCATCCTTAACCTGTTAGAAGGTATTTGAGATATTATTTTTAAATATTCATTACAGCAGTTTGTTCAGTAAAGACTTCAATACAAACAGGCCTACAGCACACAAGTTTCAGAGAGCTACTACAGGATTGCTAAATGCAGAAACCCACGCCGATTTGGGACCATCACCAGACGGATGTAGGAGTAATGACAGTGTGATGATCTCTGCTAACTCAACCTGCTGTCTAAGAATCACATAATTAATCTGCCTTAGAATATTCAGCAGCACTGACAGTGATTTCTAAATAAATGGCAGGCTTTACAAGAAATCTATCTGATTATGCTGTTTGTGAATGAACCTTTATTTTCCTTGAGGTGACTCTAATGAGGTCTTCATATTTCAATTTCTATCAGTTAGATTCAAAATAAACAGATGAATTTAAGGCTCTTGCCCTGTGAAGTGCTTGAAGGAAGCTCTGAGCCTACCGCCAGATGCCAATTGCTGGGCAGACTCCAGCAGGTCAGAGCCTGACTTCCTTTTCAGCATTCAGCCTTGGAGTTTGATCCAGCAAAGTTTCCAAGCTTTTCTGAAAGTTGCAAAAAAAACCCTGTTTTGAAAGTCCCAAACACATTAGGACAAGAAGAGATGATGGAATTTTAGAGCTTTACAAATCAGGCCTTGGGCCTTCAACCAGCAGCTACACCTTTATGGAAGGATCCCAGCTGCCTCCTGGGACTCAGTGAGGTCCATTGCTGTTTTGTGTGGACACGTACTTTCAGCTGTAAGACAGTCTTAATTTATACGGCTTTGCAATTCATTAATTCAGCTGATGAAAATACTGTGGGGGAGCAGGGGAAGGGCCTGAACATACAATTATTTGAGTTATGTTAATTTCTAAGAACACCCTCGTGTTCTCACACTTCAACCTATGCTTCAATTTTAGGGTTTTACTAGCAACCCGTTTAGTTGATCAGACTTTTATAAATTTAAATTATTATTATTATTTTTTTAATTTAGATCACAGTGCATTTGGGTTAGACATATTTCTAGGTTTGTTTGTTGCTGTTGTTTTTCTTTATAAAAGGACTCAAAGTATTTTATAAGGTTGGAAACACTAATATTTTAACTATAGTCAAACAGTTAAAACGAACAGTCTTTTTTGACAACTGTAAAACCAGACATTTTAAACAACAGTCACTGTTTTTAACGCAGAGTGAGGTAAGCAGCATTTTTGGATGCTAGTAGACATAAGTTCATCTGAAGCGAAAGCAGTTTACACCAGCTGACTACCTGTAACTTCACAACTGTAAAAGCCCCATTTGCTATTCACTTAAGGGGAACTGCAGAACAAGAATTTGATAAATTTACTAATGATGCTTCATAAACATTTACAAGGCTGACTGGGGTAGGAGACGAGAGGAAAGAAATCTAAGGAAAATACTTTGAATCTTTCAGGGAAAGAAGTAAGATTCAGGGATTCAGCAACAGTAGAATGGCCAAGGCTAGCCAAGAAAATTCTAAGAACTCTGACAAAGTAACGCTACGGAGAGCTTACATTCACTGCCTACATCCTTCTCCATGCACTCCAGCTGCCTGTTGTTTTATGTGCCCCTGCTTCACACCCATTTAGTACGCACCATGCCTGCAAGACCTACCTGCTCCTATTATGTAGGAGGTGTCAGCATGACCGACTTGCAAATTGTGACCTGTGGATCAGTTTGCAACTTGAACAGCACAGTGTGGCTGCAGATAAAGTTCTACCCTGTGCATGCAAATAAGGTAAGAGTCCCTGGAAGAGAAGGACCTAATGCAGCTATAAAGGGTTTAAAGTCGTTGTTAGGAAAAATTTGTAAGTCCCTGAATTTTCTCAACCAAATTATTTTGATATAGCTGAGGTCTTGAATTCTTATTGCTGTAAGAAATCACTCTGCTTTATTAAGTACAAAGTCACATCCTGAGAAGCTCTAACCTGAAAAACCAGAATGCCTGTGTTGGCAACAGCCAGGTTGATTTTTGTCCCTTCCCTGTCCTTGGCTGGATGCAAGCGTATTCCATACATCTCGAGCCGACGGGCAATCTCCAAAAGCTGGAAGTCAGACTCTGCTGGTGTCTGTCCCCTTGAAAAGAAAACAGAGAAGACAGAAAAATTTTTCACACCTTTTAATAGAGATCAACAGGACCTCCAGAGAACAAAGAAATGTTTCATCAAAGTGATTGAAACCTGTCAGAGGTATAATATCCATATGGTTTTTCTGTCCCCAGATTTATGTCAGCTAGAACAACAACTTTATCTTATTCTAAACCAGTAATAAAGAACCCACTGATTTTACACTCTATTAGAAATTTTGACTGCTCCAATTCTGAGACCCGTGATACAACTATGTTTTGAACCATTAACTTTAACAGAATTCACTACTTCTGTTTGTATTTTCCACTGGAAAAACATTCTGTACTCCTAAAAAAAAATAAAAATCATAAATAGAAGTGTGTTAAGGACATTGTTCACTGTAAAAGTGAATGTAATACCAAAATGAAGTAATACAGAAGACGTGAAAACATTAACATAAATGTTGGGAACCCATAAGCACTAAATTAATCGTGATGATATTATGCAAAAGTTTAGATTATTACTGCTATAGAACTCCCTCCCACCTATATCTAATTAAATGTAGCTTAAAATGAAACTGTTCAAGTCTTGATGTGTTCTTGACATCCAAAAAATACCTTTTTATGCCTGTGGTGGTTTGGTGTCTGGTGGGGTTTTGGCACGGTTTTGGTAGCAGGGGAGGGGGCTACAGAGGTGGCTCCTGTAAGAGGCTTCGAGAAGCTCCCCCGGCTCCAATTTCGGACCCGCCTCTGGCCAAGGCCAGATCAATGGTGCCTCTGCAAGCCACTATTGAAGAGTGACAGAAGCTGTTGATTTGGTCTCTTTGTTCTGTTTTGTCTGTGTTGGTGAGCGAAGGGCGATGGGAGAGAGACAACCCTGCAGACACCCTGGTCAGTGAAGAAGGAGAGGGGGAGCTGTGCCAGAGCAGAGGTTCCTCTGCGGCCCATGGTGGGGTGGCGGCTGAGCCCCTGCAGCCCCTGGAGCCCAGCGGTGGCCGGAAGGGTGGGGGTGGAAGGTGTGTTGTTTTTAAGACCTGATTGTATCTCCCATTCTCCTTGATGGTGGTGGTTTTCATTAAATGTATGTTGTTCTCCCCAAGTTGAGTCTGTCTTTGCCCATGACCATAACTGGTGAGTGAGCCCTCCCTGTCCTTTTTCTCGACCCTGGAGCCTTTTGGTTGTATTTTCTCCTCCCCATCCCTCAGGGAATGGGGTAGGGGTGAGCGAGCAGCTGCGGGGTGCTTTTGGAGCCGGCTGGGTATGCTCAAACCACAACAATGCCTTACTGGTAATTCTTTTAACCATCTTACTACTACTACTCTTTTCTCCAGGCCTTAGGATACCAATTGGAATCATCAACTTGAATCCTATTTCCCCAAATCCCTAATTATGCAAGCACTTTGTGCTTCTCCTAAAACTATCATTAAACCCCTTCTTCACCCATCTCTAAATACAGCATGGAAAGGTGAAAAGGCAATATTCAATGTCCTTGAAATCAAAAAGACTGCTGTCAGAAGTGCCTGACTAATCAGTCATCATTTGCAATCATACCTGCATGCACGAAATCAGCAGTGAAGCATTTTGTATGAAATAGACTGTAAAATAATGGCATGCTTGAATGAATATCAAAATCAATTGCTCTTTAAACAGCTTGTTATGATGACAGAAGAAAGGCAGGAGTAACCTTCAGGAAATTCATAGGCTTGAACAATTTTTGAGAAGTAACCTTTGAGAAACTAAGAGGTCTAAATCTCTTTTGTACTTATGATCTAGCATGTATTCACAGTTAGAACTACTCTAAGGAAAAGAAGGCCAGTAACAAGAACCAAAAAGTCTTACATGTGGCTACGGTGAAATTCCATGATTTTGTCTTCTAGTGCTTCTTGCTGAGGTATATACTTGTTCTTCGCTAAGTGTTCACGATCTATGGTTTCATCAAAATCCCCAATCTCAGCTACGGAGAATTTTAAGAAAAATCCATTAAAACATATTAAATCTGAATTATTTGGGCAATCCAAAAGGTGCAGACAGCTGGGAAGAGGGCAGAGAAGCAAACATAGTTCTTGCAAGCTGTGTCATGGTTTTATGATTCAGATTCCCACTACATTATCTTCCACGCATTCCTCCCTTCTCCTCTGTGTTAGTATCCGATACGTGAGAAGGAGCCCAAGGATTCCTCCCATCTGCCACAACCAAGTAAGTAGCTGTTGGATGTCAACTGAACAAGTGAAGCCATCACAGTGCTGCCTTGACTTGTGTGCAGGATAAGTGTGGGGGTGACAGAGAGGACAGCACTAATTCGGAAGAACTCATCCATCTCTCTGACACACATCATGGCACTGAGATGTCTTTCCCTGGAGTGGCCAAGCACAAGCTTCCTCCCCAGGCCCATGCTCCACAGTGTAATCGTTGGGTGAAAATCTGAAAGATGGTTTTGTTTGCTTGTTTGAACGCAGGCACGTATTCTACCCCATGGAGTTATGAAACATTTGTCTTCCTCTAATTTTGCAGCAGTTTTGAGACACATTCTGTCTCCCTCCTCCTCAAAGTTGCTCCCATCTGCTGCAGTTATTCAATACCGTGTGTGCAACAGCGTGTCACACCCACCTTCCATTTTGCAGCCCATTCAGTAAGATTCCTTTTTTTTTTTTTTGGGGGGGGGGGGGGGGCGGGCAGCAGGCAACCTATGTGTGGGTGCCAGATTACTATCTTGTTACCTGCTATTCTTGGAATGCCTCTGAAAATCTTGCTATTAGCTTTTTCACTGAACAGCGTAGCAGCTTCTGCCCTCAAACCTGCTGGACCAATAGCAACACCACTACAACAAAGGCTACTACCTTCATAATATCAGTGAAATTAAAATGTAGCACCCTCAAAATAAATCCAGGCTGCAGTCAGACCTGACCTAGTGTTGTGGTTTAACCCCACACAGATATTACAGACCCAAGCTCAGATCCTTGCCTCATCCTCCTCCTCAGTTCTGCCCATGTAAATAAACCCTCAATCCAGTTCTGTCCAAAATAAGCTGATTTAGAAAATATAAAGATTTCATATGATGTTTAAAACACTGCAGGTGACTTCTGAGAAAAGTTTGCCTGGGATCAGATATACCTGGAAATGCAGAGGGGGAGCACTAACCTTGCGTAGGCAGGGAAGATGAGGACCAAAGCATCTATGAATGACAGAGCAGTAACCTTTCAGTCCAAATTGCCTGCGGCCGTATGACGACTTTTTCTACTTTGCAGTTCAGAGGTGGAAAAGAATTGATAACTGAGACTGTCTGACTTCCACCCCCTCCCTCATCCCATCTGCTCTGTATCATTCCTCAAGACAGCAGAAATACTACAGAATCTTTGAGAATTCTCAGAAACAGCTCCCTCACTCCAGTTTTACTCGCCCCAGCGTCACAAATCTTTAGGGTCCGTTTTTAACCCTAACTCAAACGAAAGGCAGGTTTATCTTCTTTAATGAAGCCATAAGCCTACCTAGGTTTGCAACACCTCAAATAACATGGGCCTTGATTCTTTAAAATGCAGTCCATACCCTGTACATCCTTGTATACAGATGGACTTAAACCACCTTCTATAGGGCCTTCTTAAGAGCCAAGTGTACAGAAGATGCTTATTTCACCTCTACATGATTTCTAGAATGTTCTCTGCACTTGTCAACTGCAAATCCATTATCAAAATTGTCCTCCTGGCTTTCAAGTTACTTCTGAATTTGTTCTCTCTGACCTCATACTCAACAGCTTTTACTTCTCTCCTTAGCCCTCCTTTTCCACTTCAAATGCCTTTCTAGTAGCACTTCCTCTAGAATGATAGGGAGTTTTGTTTTGAATATTGTGAGCCTCACATATAATTCTTCTTTAAAATCTCATGTGTTTTAGCCAAAAATTGATTTCCACTGATGCTTCCTTTTCTCTTATCTTGCAAGTGCATTACACCACACTGTATTCTGTCTGCATTAGCACTTCTGATATGTCTAATGCTTTGTATTTCAGCTTTTTTTCCTTTAATCGGTCCATCTTCTTACTTCAGACATGCACTTCACTGCATTATTTGCAGTATCAAAGTGTCCTCTCACTTCTAAACACCTTCTACAATACTTTTAAGGTATTTTTAAATGGAATGTTTCAAATCTAAATTTAATTCTGTAATATACATGTTAATTTAACAGAAACTTATTTGCTGTCATATTATGATTTCATATAAATAACATCTATAACATTGACATAAGCTTGTATACATAATATAAGGGCCTCCTGGAATCAGACATCCCCCACGGAAACCGCTTGTAGGCACAGCTTCGATAAGGCATACAATACCTAGCCTCCTGCATTTTCAATCTTACCATTTTGATACCATTACTCTTATCAGCTGTCTAGTTTTATTTTTGTTGCAGACAAATACATAGTATTTTTTTTTCCTACTGAATAATAAGCTAGAGAGAAGGCAGCCATGTGGGTAAGATACAGCTATAGTCTCTTACCAGAGAAAATTTTTACAGATGATGTTTGTGAGATACAAGATGGATAAACAGATGAGACAGTCACAAACTTCTAGCAGAAGTTTCTAGCAAACACTGTTACACAAAAAAAGGGAGAGGGGAAAAATCATGAACAGCAAAAATGGTCCAGCATGCAGTCAGGAGATGGCGAGGGGAAGCAGCACTGCAGGCACACCATGAAGCACTTGCAGTTCAGATTCTGTTTCACTTCTGCATGATGAATCTCGCACCTCTCTCCTCCTGACGTGATGGAAAAACTCCATTTTTCAGTACAGAAGTATCTTACCTTACTCTCCCTGTAAGGGGAATACTACTTGATTCCTAAAATCCCAGTTCAGAATCACTCTGCACCTCAAGCTTACAGGTAAAGCTACTCAGTCACACTGGGCAATGATGACCATGGCAAACAGGAAACCATACATTACCCGCCTTTCCAATAGCAATTGATGAGAAACTGTCCTGACACTTAGGCTATGACAAAGCATCATGAGATATATCCGTTCATCACTAAAGAGCTTCTGAATGTCTTTGTTATCTGCAATTTCTGTAGAAGCATTTCAGTGGAAATATGCAATACTGAATTGTACAATGACCATTCAAAACAATGGTCTGTTATGACCATTATACATGCTACTAAGTGGTTTTTCCTAACGTTATTCTCAAGGTGAGTATCCATAAAAGCTTGAAATAGAAACATACGCTGCCTTTCAAGTGAGCTGGAAGCTAAAAGAAGCTTTGATGTGATGAACAAAGTTAATGTATCATTCTACTCAACGGTCTTATTGCGCATACTTTGCAATTAAAAAAAAAAAAAAAAAAGCTTAAAATCTGTTGTTTTTTCCTTCCCTATCAGTTTCCTCTTAGGACTGTGATTTAGTCTGGCATTCTAAGCATGTTTATTTACTACATTCTCTAGACAGCATACAGATCTCCTGGAATTTGAATGCTCTGCTGACATGATACAAAGTGTAATAAAACAGGAATTCAGAAGAATTCAACCTGTCTGCCCCTGCCTGCAAAGTTTGCTTTTTAAATGATCCTAGGAAGACTATCAAATGCAATGCTTTATAAATGTAAATTCAATGTCCAGGAGCAGATTTTTATTTGAAAGAGTAAATTATCTGTATTTGAATGCCATTATAGAGAAATACAATAAATTGTCCATATGGCTTAAACCTGTCCCTACAGCAGCTACTAACAGGTAACCCAGCAAAGCATGTCCAACGAATCATCCTGTTTATCCTCCTGGAAAGGAGAAAAAAAAGGAACTTACACTGTACTATGTGTGAGATTAAGAGGGCAGTGCTGGTATCATTACACGTTAGCCTTCCCTGTGCCAGGTCCTGCTTCACTTGCAATGCAAATAGGTACCTGCAACACAAAAATGAACAAAGGAGTTACACAAAGCACAAGGGGAAAGAGGGAAAAGTATTTCAACGCCAACTGTGGTTTTGACTACATGTTCCTTTCACTTTTTGGAATCTACAGAAGTGATCTGTAGTTCCTAAGTTTAGAGGCTAAATAAAACATAACAGATACTCTATCACAGCCAGTAGAGTCTTACATGGTGGCTGCTTTGCAGGACCAAGATATCCTTCTCTCTCCTTCCCTCCTTTGGAACCAGAGCAATGAGGTATGACAGTGGAAGCAAATGTGACAGCTATTAAGTGCTCAGCAACTGCACAGCAAGCAGCACTAGATAATGGAGTTGCTTGTAGCTATGAAGAAACGCCAGATAAACCAGTGATTTAGAGCTATCAGTTAATTCTTCTAGAATACAAGGAGAAGTCTAAACTTCCACCTTGGCACTCGCCTGAAAATGAGAGGCAAGATCTTGATCGAACAGCTCTAGCTAGCTCTGATACTTTTGTGGCCCCATTACCTGCACCACCTGTGCACCATTTTCAACATTGCCTCCAAACCATCTCAGCCACATAGGGCAATTCCGCATTGACAGTTTAAATGCAGAAACAACATAGGTCCACGACATTATTTCAACATTTAAATTTCTTTGAGCTTCAACGGGAATTAAAATTCCTTAGTTCCACTCAGCATCAAATTATTCCCCAGAAAAAAATGAGCTAGCAGTGGGCATTTCTCCTACAGCTGGTATGAAACCTGAACTAGTTAGACATGTTAACAAGTCTTCCAAAGACTGCAACTCCTCTGGAGAACTCATACTAGGATCTCAATAGTTTTTAACATGACTAGATTTTAATAGGTTCAGTGAAAAGCTTTCATTCGAAGAGTGAATTTCTGAATAAGGAGATGTAGGTAAAATAAATGAAAAGGGCAAGCTGATTTGAGGAGTATGGAAACATACACAGCACATGAAATAATATAGCAGATCTAAATAGTGTCCTTTTGAAACCTGCAGACATCTGCCTATCCATACAAAATTCACCCTAGTAGAAGAATTTAGCACAAAAGTGTTGTATTCCCTGCTTATGAAAGTGATGAAGCCATTCCCTGTGGATACACTTCACATCCTACACACTGCTGTGTACATATATTCAAGTTCTCTAGCATACACATCTAAAATCTAACCAAGTCATTAGGATTCAGAGACACGTCTTCAGGTGCAGAAAGAGATCACCAAAAATCAATTTACAGCACGCATACTAAGCAACTGATATGCAGAACATATATTCAGAAACAGAAATGTTTCATTAGGCACATCATGTTGAGAGTTTTCATTCATCACTTTATTGTTTTTACTCAGTCTTTTAAGTAAATATTCCTTCTTCCTACCCCACTTTTCTCTGTCCAGGCCAGCAAGAGATATCAAGAATTTCTTGTTTTCCATTCCATTGCTCAATTACCAAAATAAAACAAGACAGAGAAAAACACAAAACATCACAAATGTGGACCTGCTCTTTATAAAGCAGGTCATAAGGACACAAGAGGTCTTTGTAAAAGAGGACTTCATCTTGTGGGAAGATTGAAAATAAAAACTAATAGTGAAAATACTGAACCAGAATGGAAAAATTTAATTAAAAATAAAATTGTAGATCAGAAAAGAGTTTAAAAGTTGCAGTGATAAAATACTGCAACAAAACAACGCTTCTGACCATAAAGGAAGGACCTGTTAATGAGGAAGAGCCTTAATAGGTCCCTCATACACATGTTTACTCACAGAGAAACACGACTCTCTATGACAATGCAGTGTGAAATTCAGAGCTTAAGTGAAGTTTTTGAAATGCGCTGAAAATAAGCACACCTTAAAGGTTCTCTTTCTGTATGTGTGTATCTTTCTCTACCTTCCTCTTTTCATTTTATCCCCTCTCCTTTCTATTTCCCCATCTCCAAAGTCACACTTTCCCCTGTACAAACCTTCAGCATTGGCTATACAAATAAGGCCCAGTGCTGCTGCAACTTTGGCAATTCAACATGCAAAACAACTCTCTCCCGAACATGGGTGCAGAGTCACACATGCCCTCAGCAGCGGAGCACCCCAGAGCGCCAACACATGCCTTAGTCAGGTCCCTTCCCACACCACTGCCAAAGAGGCTTGGAGAACTCTGTTGCCGAATTGCCTTCTCTTCAGGGTGAGCAAAGCTCTCCCAGGACCCCAAATGCAAGGTGGCAAAAGACCCCTGCACTTTGCAGAACCTCTCTCAGCACAGACTGCAACCAAATCTTACGGCCTATTTTTCAGGTGCATTCAAGGCTGGGGCAAATAACATCAAGCTAATACTAAGAAGCAGCCATCCATCCTCACCCAATCATCTCAAATCCATCTTCTCCTCTCTGTCCACCAGAGATTTAATAAAAAAACAATAGTCACGCAGCTACTAACCTTGTCAGTTCCTCCTGCAACTGAGCGTGGTCAGGTGGGAAGAATTTTACCACAAATTTTACAACAACATGCTTCGGTCCTAGTGGAAATGTCAACGGAAGTTAGTGAACATCAGTAACACGCTGGCCAAGTTTTATTACACAGCATCATGTACAAGGGATGATTCACAGAACCTGCAGTGCATACATACATGCTAACCTCCTGTCCTTTGTTGGTTTTCAGGTTATTCAGAGATTGCACAATAAAATTTACGCACAATAAAAGACAGCAGTAACTTGGTTGAGGGATACTGTGCCAAAAACTTGAGTCTGTTTTTAGTAATAACATCAGTATTGACCCAATAAAATATGTGTGTCTATTTTCCTTGCTTCAGAACAGGAGGGAGCTAAAATACACTCTATTTTTCAAGTCCACTAGCAAATACTATTTCTGTTTTAACAGCAGCATATCTGTTCTGACTCTTAGAAGTATGACCAATACATCTCTCTTTCCCGAGAGGGAGAGGTGCCAGAGCATACACTCAGACTAATATGACCAGAGAGGCACCTAGGAAAACTTAATCTCAATGGCAAAGCTCAATAAATGAAGAACTTTGCTGATATTTGACAGAGAAACAGAATCACCAAAACCTTTCCTGTCAACTTCTACTCTTCCCAGAGCTGATGGCTATTTACAGTTTCCTGCCCTTTCCCACCACCCACCATAACTTTCCCTGATGGCCCTATCCCAACTGCTTCCTCCTCCTGGTCTCAGACAGGTTCCAAGTTCTGCAGCAATCCTGATTACTGCTGCCTCTTGGCAACGTGTCCTTCCTTTAATCCTTCTTTTACGGTACTCTTTTTTTTTTTTTCTTTACAAAACTGTTCCCTCCGTTGCCATCACTGCCTCTTCTAGTGACTGACTAAACTTCAGCCTCCTCCTGGGTCAGCCCCTTCACATGTTCGTGTGACATAATTTCACAGCACACACAGTACATCTTTTAAGGACAGACCAGAAATTAAAAATAAGCCAAACAAAATTCAGTGAAGAAAGTTGAGAAGATAAAGATCCCAACTGACAGAGTCTTAATTTATTCAAGTACTCTCAGACTGACAAAATAAATGATAGCAAGGAAGTACTTACTTCTAATCTGTTTCATAACAGGCTTCAAAAGATCAAGCCACACCTGAAAACAAAAGAAAGTGGTGTCATCATCTCTGAATAAACTACCACTTGCAGAGGAGCATTTTTCACTGCACTACTTAGATTGTCAGTTACTTACTTATTTTTTCTAGCCTGGTCATCATGCTCTCCCTAATTATATGTAGTCGGTTTTCTCCCCAAAACTCTGAAAGATGCTCAGGAAACAGCACTGTTAACAGGCTGTCACCATGGCAAAGCTTTTGAAGCAGTACAGATTCAGAGAGCTTGGAAAGGAGTGAGGAAGTCTCCCCCTCACTTGTCTCATGTACCAACAATGACAGCATGTTTGGTCAGGAACCATTCATTTTGAGGAAAGAACAACTGAAACAAGGAGTTCAGAAAAAGACAGTCCTATATTGCCATTGTGGTCCTCACCCTAATTAATCGTGCCTTTGAGCTGGGAACGCTGGGCAAATGGAGAAACGAGAAGAATGCAACCTCCTTCTTGGGAGGTTTTGGGGACCTAACAGGAGTACTACTGTGAGGCCTGGGCATAAATGTGGAGCTCCCTTGCTTGGCCCCATGGAGATTAATGAGTCTTACCACCAGCACCCGGGGGAGGAATGTAATCTTGGGTCAAGGTCGTGAGGCAGACAACAGCATAAAGCACAGGTGGGAGGAAGCTTACTTTTGAGCTGTGTAATATTTTCTCTTTTCTATAAACCAGAGAAGCTCAGGCCTAGGCTTTTTTAGTTGGGGGCAATGTAACTTCTGCATATAGTTTACTTTCATCTGTTTTTTAACAACCCATTTTTCAAGATGGTGTGTGGGTCTTCAGCTTTCAAAAGAGAAGCAGTGGATGGAAATACAGTTTTCAGAGCCTAAAGCCCTGTTCCGCAGTCTCAGTCACAAGGGCCTGGGCAAAATGTGATGAAAAGCCAAGGGACAAGCATGCAGAAGGTAAAAGCCAGATGACTTGCAGGGCCTGGAGAAGTGTGACAGCTCACAGTCCTCGGACAGTAACTACCTATGCTCAAAATTCATATTTTGTTATCTCACTAAATTGCATGGAGCCTCCCCTGGAGATGTCTGGAATTTGTAGAGGAACATCCTACAACCATCACAAAGGTTAAAGTCCTTAAAAACCAAATGAACAGTTGTCTTTTAGAAAAAGATTATGTATTGAAATGAATACATATTCAACCTTTAATAATTTTAGATTATACAGAGACTGAAACATACTTAAAATATTCATCTTAGAAAATCATTTGAGAGGCCAGGCAGGAACAGGCCTGCATTGCTGCTGTAACTGCTCCAATGCTGTTCACTGTTTTCATCATTAACTAATATGAGTGCTTCCAATTAGCAAAGACCTCACATTACTCCCCTGTCACACTTACTAATGTTTCTCAATGGAATTCTTTTTATGTTTCTCAGCTTATGGAAGTCTGGGTTTTTTTTTTGGAAGGGCTAAAGAAACTTGGTTAGCCAAGAATAGGAACACAGTGTTTATCACACGTTAAACTGGTCCTGACACTTTTTGGCATTTCAGTAATTTAAAACTGGTTTGTTTCAGAAAGTTGGCAGGTACATAATCTGCAATGAAGGTCAGGGACTTTGCCAAGTTTAGTGGAGGAAAAAAAAATCTTGAATATAATACAGACAGTTTACAAGAATATGGGAGCAATGTATTTTACTTGACACCAAAAAAAAGAAAAAAATCTTCTCTCTCTCTCTCTCGGGAGTTTATGATACAGCATGAGCACACAAATGCACCATTCCTTTCTCCACCTTCCCAATCATCCTACAAGCAAGTAGCAACATCCTTGACTGGACTGCTGGATACTAGAAATGCATGTTTTGAACATGCATAGGGAGAAAGGTGAGGCAAAATGAAGACCTTATCGCTATCATCAAACCCAAGCAACCGAAACTTTTGTATCATGTAACTCCCACACTGTATCTAAACACAGCCAATCTGAGACTGGTTTATAAACTGGGAATGAAAAATAACGTGAGGATTCAATTAAGATTCATGTTTTCAATTTTCTCCAGAACTACAAAGGCTAGATTATTTATTTCTTAAACGAAGTCTGGCATTCCACAACAGTGACTAGATTTCAGCAGCTGGAGAACTGGGGCAGATATCAAATGTAATGAAACTCCGTGAAACCCCAGACTGGGCAACAGTGCCTCATTTCTTCTTGTCCCAGCAGGAAGCGCAGCCCTCAGACCCCACGTTCATCTCCCATGAAGATCTTGTCTGCTACAAGCACAGCACACTTGAATGTATACAACTGCCAATGTGTCAGATATGAGGTCTGGAGCCTTGCATGTTGAAACAAACACAGCTGAACTGTGAATATATGACTTCACATACATACAATTATATCCAAACAAATATGCTCTAAATATTTATTTTTCCTTTTACATCGCACTCTACATTGGAAAAGCAACTTCAGACTATATGCATGTAAAATATGAGTGTGTTTTATTTCCCAGACACACCATTAACTGCAGGTTTTTTTATTTGCACAATGCTTGAGTTCTACATTATGGCCATTATGAAGCTCAGAAAGTTCTAAATCCCACAGGAACATTCAACCTCAACTGCACCATATAAACTGGTTACTATAATTTAAGTGTAAATATTACTCTCAGAGTGCTGCTCCACATCGAAACAACAATTCATAATCAAATCTGCTTCAGAGTTTCTGCGAGTTGCTTTTAGTTGGTTGAAGGCGTTACTTCCACTGAATCTCACCATTCTCGGTGGTGTGACTAGATGTGAGCAAGACCTGGGGATCTCCCCCTTTTTCAGAAGCAAAGACTGGAACAAGCAGAAACATGGACCAGAGTTCTCATATACTTGGCTAATATTTCCCTTTGCAAGAGTAAGGGCCAGGTGAGTTACCATGCTCGGATCCACTGAGGCATTTTGCTTTAGGTCAAACTGGCAATAGCCATAGGGGGTTTTCTCCACCTTCCTCTTCATCAGAACCCTGGCTCCCCCACTGTGATCGTCTGGATGTATTTCCAGCCAGTCAATTCCTGCCTCTGCAAGGGCCTCAGGCACTGGCAGCACCTCAATCTCTCCTGTGTTCAGTCTCAAGCAAATAAACCACTTTGTTTTCACAAGACTGAAAACTGTTGGTTTACTTCAGGTCTCTGAGCAAAACACAGAGGGGTCATCTATTTGAAACTTAATGACCTGTGAAGTAGAGAAGGTTGATCAAATGATCTTCTCTATTTTCCAGAAAACTTAAACACAGTTGTATATACACAAGATTTTAGGATTTGTGTCAGCTTTACATACATAAGGAATGTAAGTATGTCATTATTAACATGGCTACATGGACCCTCTGTTGTAACAGTACTGTACAGTTGCACTGTTTTGAAGAGTTATGTTAAGCTTTCAAGTTACCTAAAGCATTAGCCAAAGTTATCTGGCAGAATACGAAACTTTCTAGTAAACTGTGTTTCATGTGAATCCAAGAGGAAATTGTGAAGTGGATCATTTTTAAAGATCTATGTCCATTTAAAAAAAATTCCTCTTTAATTATAGTTAGCCTAAAACATTACGACCACCAGTGTTCAGTTTTAGTGTCTACGTAAGCCTGCACTAAGACATGACAACAGATTAATGCAGCAGCAGATAAATTCTCTTTTGTTAAAAAATATTGCTCCTTACAAAAATTTTACATAGATAGAAAGAAAATAGGTTTTGGTGTGTGGTTTTTTGGTTTGTTTTTTTGGGTTTTTTTTGGGTGTGGGTTTTTTTTTTTGTTTTTTTTTTTTTTGGTTGTTTTTTTTTCCTCAAGTTGCCCAAAGTCATCTTCTTTACGTCAGCCAGGTTACTGGTGCAGAATTCACTGAACAGACAAGAAATCCAGTATATACCAGAATATACCGGTAAAACAATCCAGATAACCAGTACACATGCCAGTAGGTCATACAGTAAGTCTAAAGTAAAACAAACCTCACAAAGAAAGTCATTAGAAGCTGAGAAGTCATTAGCCTTTGGCTTTCTCTGCTACACGATACTGTTTCCATGCTAGAAGTATTAGCGCAATGCCCAAATGCTGCCAGCAGCTGTTTTCAAGAGCCCAAAGTGTCAGGACCAGGATGTGTGCCTGTGCCACACAGCTCCCCAGACAGGACTTCCATCAATTTATTTGAGTTTTTTGGTTTTGCTTTCCTTTTTTATTAACCTTGTTATATTTCATCTACCCATTTTCTTGCCCCACGATGTTTTTCATGGAACCATGTCACAATCACTGCAACTTCTCTGTCTGCAGAGAAAGATTATTTCCACACTCCAAATTAAGCAGGACTGTAAAATCAGAGTTCAGACTCTGCAACAGTCCAGCCTTTGGCTCCTCTACTGGAACTGATAAAGAGAAAATGCTTTTCCAACTTGCGTATGAATTGGCTGTTACTTTCAACACAAATGAAATCTGACAGGAGTAACCAGGTTTTAAAAACATTTCTTCAACTCCAGCAGGCAATAATTTTTTTTTTTTAAAAAAGTCCTTTTTTTCTTTTGGAGATTGGGGATTAAATATACCTTCTAAGCAAGGAGCAGAAGGAGAGAATACAGTGTGTATGTAGAGGAAAACCAGCTGAAAATTAATCCTGTTACATACCATCATCTTTTTATGATCTGGAAATTCAAGGCCAAAGTAGTCGCCTTCAACAAGATTCAGGTGGTTGCAAACAGCATCATGCAAAACTTTCCCTGGAGCTCTTTGCTGTAAGAAGAAAACAAAGCCTAGGGTTACAAAGATGCTTTTAATTAGTGGCAGAAAAATTATTACCCTAAGAAATTGTCCAGCAAACAACACTGTCAAAACAGTTTATAAAATCAGTGGATATTCCAACCATACCCATAGGGCAGCTGACAATAATTACACCAGTTCTAAAGCTACAGAAAATATCCATCCACCCCTGAGTGGCAGCTCAGAATCCATCTTTAATCCATTTTTATTTTTGAGGGAAAAATACCATGAAATAGAAGAGGCAGAAGAGGGGATATAGTCTTCTTATGTCTGCCAAGGCTAATTTCTACTGTGAATTTCACAAGACAGCTATTTCATCCCATGGCCCTTCAAGCTGTGTCAGGAGGTGCTTTGTACCTCTGTGTATAACATACCGAAAACAAAACGTTCACCAACAGACCTGTCATACAGAACACAAGGGTCTGAGGGTTTGCTGGACACCACTTGATAGGCAACAGGCTCAAGTCCTGGTTTCTGACTTCATATGGGCTTATCCTGAGCCTCCTGCTGTGAGGCACTGAGGCTGGTCAAGGCCCATCTGTGCTACCCTAACAGAGTTGTTGAGTGATTTGGAGAAGTCAAGAGCAAGCATTTCCTTCCACACAATGAAAGTCTTCCCTCTATAAAGACCAGATGTTCTAGCCCAATATTAGCTCCCAGAGCTGCCACTTTACTGATTGTAACGATTCTTCTCATCAGCACGTCAGTTGAATCCACACCTGCAGCAAATACTGTAAATCACAGCTCACCAGCAAGTCTTCAGGAAAAATCACTATTTCCGTATAAAAAGGCCAATCACTGAAACAAAATATTTTTGTTCCTTGGACAAATGCACCTATTTTAACTCAAGAGGCACTGAAAAACAGATCTCCGCTCACTTCAGAACAAGTAATAACCCATTAAACTGCACAAACTCCACCATTACAAGAGACTCATTTGACCCTGGTCAAATGCCCTTGCACTCAACCTACAGATTGGCCCTTTCCCTTTCTGCCCAGTAAATGATTACTAGAGCAAAACAAAACAGCAGCAACTGAGCGAAGAAAAGAAAACCATTTGAGATGGGTAGTCCAGACAACCTGGCTCAAACCTGAGCCTGAGGCCAGGTCCTGGCATCTCCAGGCAGTGCTTGTACCAACAGGCTGCTTTGTGAGAGGGCAGCTGCTCAATCCTGCCTTCTCCCAGACGTGTCACCATGCAGTTTAGTCTCTGTTTCACCAGGATACCAAAAAGTAAATTCCCAGGGTTTTTCCACCTAGGGTCATACTTCAGATGAAGTACAAAGCATCTTTCCAGAGGCAATTTATCTAACATTGTCTAACATGAATTTGAAAAGAAAATACCCAGTAGCGTGGCTTACACCAGAGGAAATTAAAAGGATGACTTTTTCTAGGGAAGGCACAGGACGTATGTGCCACCACAATAGTGCTGTCATCTCGGTGATGCAGGACACGATGACCGAACCCTTCAATGCTGGCTGGTTTTGAAAGCCAGAAAGGAAAAGCCAAGCTCACCTCCCCAGGAACTTGCTGAGCAGGTTTTTGCCCAACATACTCCCAGTGCAGTCTAACAGACCTATGCCACCAGGAAGCAATGTTCACTTAGATTATTTCATTAACTGTTTGTTACTGTTAGCTGTAACAAGCATTAGCCTCATGAAAACTGTCAGAAAACACATGAAGAACAATTGCAGACAGAAGTACTAATTTTTTTAAAGCATTCATCAAAACCAACTTTGCAGTAACTAAAATAATTCATACCAAAATGCCAAATAAGACGAGATAGAGAAGGCAAGGAAGAAAGGAACTAAAAAAGGAACATATTTTTCTACACGGAGGACTTTTGATCTGATGCCATGCCATCCAAAATAAGGCTCAAGTGCAAATATATTTGAATATGCTCACTTCACGTTCTCCAGCTTCGTTAAACCAAAAACATCCCCAACGACCACTGCCCAGCCCACACTGGTCATTTTGCGTTGCATGTCAGTTCTAACAGAAAGCTTCCTATTATTTTCCACTCCATCTATCACTGTATGTAGTCACACCCAAACATACATTGTCTCTTAATGAAAGAGCTTCCCAGTAAGTGCATTTCATGGGAGGCAAAAGACTAATATTAAAAAGACATTAGATTGAGTGTAATAATGGTATTAGTTTACTGCTCCGAAAATACACCTACAAATTATTTAGAAACTTCAGGGAAATGCTCCTGCTCCCAGACTAGTCTCAGACCTCCACAGTTCGGCAGGGGCTGCTAGAGAGCAGAAGGACATGTTTATCAGCCACCCTCACAGAAAGAGGCACAGGATGTTTGCTTTCATCGTCATGCACAACCAGAAAAATGGAAATGTGCCTGTGCATATGTATGTATATGTCTTACTAAAGTCTCTGATGGACTCCTGTCTGACAAAGACAAAACTCAACGTTCCTCCTGGGGAAAAAAAAAAAAAAAGTGCACCTCTGGGAGTGTGGAGATTTTTGACCAACAAGAAAAAAGGCAGAGCGCCCACCTACATTAGCACACTGCCCAAGGTTAGCTGAGGAAAGCAAGCCTGTCTGATCTCAGGCCATGAGTAAAAGCATCTGATTAAAACCTGCTGAGTGTTTTCATAAAGTTTTTTTTGTTTGGTTGGCTGTTGTTTTTGGGTTTTTGGGTTTTTTTGTTTGTTTTTTTTTTCCTTACAGGCATTTAGACGATGGAACGGCAGTCTTGTAGCATTTATGTCACTTGGCATTTTGTCTGAAGTGTGCCTCAGTAACATGAAATGCTTCTTACTCAAGTAGTTGTAAATAAGATTATTATTCTAAACTCATCTTAGCTTTGATCAGTCTACCTCAAAATAAAATCTGACAGTTTATTCAATGGAAACAATGTGCATATAAAATCTGCTAAGATTTAGAGCCTGATGACACTCCAGTTTTGCAGGACCAGAAGGAGAAGTACAACATCCACAAAAGCAGGAACTCTCAGGTCTCACAGAGATGTTGATCCAGTGCAGTTCCATGACATCCCTACTAAAAAATTTAAACACAGTAAATCAGAATCTCAGTCTGCCGGGTATGGAAGCAAACCAGCAGTCACTCAGTGCGCAGCAAACACAAGCTGACAGAAGAACCATTCAGGAATGAGTGTGCCACACCGATGACATCATCTGTAGCCAACAGTTGCGTCTGACTTGAACGTGGTTACACGGCCTATGGGACAACACAAGTCTTCCACAGAACTTGGAACTGTCAAGCACGGCCCTGCTGCCATGCCTCAGACAAGTACTAAGCAAGTTTCATTGGCTCCCATCCCACAGCCCTGCGGCTGCACCAGTGGCCAGAGCTTGGCCACTTTCCCTGCTCCACGCCAGCACCAGTCTGATCCATGGGGGCCTACGAGCGCCCCAAAATAGCCACGCATGCATGTAAGGGTGGGGAAAGGCTGCACTATAGCTTATGTTATAGGAGGGCCTTTCCCTGCTACAGTGAGAAAGCACAGGCCCATTGCACGACCGTCATGAAAGCCTCATACACTGGAATGAGGGAAGGACACCAATGTGGCCAAACGTAGAGGACACGAGAAAGGAGATGCAGACCTATCTCCTGCTCTCCCTGAGCATCATTGAATGAGGGAGGTAAAGAACTGACACAAAGGTGAAGATCAAAGGAAAAGGACAACGCATGCAAGTGGGACATCGACATGGAAACTGCCACAGTGAAGGCTGACAGCAAGACTCTATCTTCAGACCATTCACTACCACATATGCCAAGCTGTAAGGCAGTGAAGGAAAGGAAACAGAAGGGTATGGTATACTGGTGGATACAATCGGGGGAAGGTCGCATGCAACAGCAAGGAGACGGGAAGCAGCTGCAATGGGTGGCAGCCCTCTGCTCCTGTTTCTGTTAACAGCCAGGTTCTTGTATAATCAATGAAGAAATATTGCAGCTCCAGAGGGCAGTTCTTCCTACCCCAAAACAGCCACCTGAGCACTCTGGCAATGAACTTTTCCTTACCAATACAGTTGTACTCTCTTACTTTTCACAACAAGGAGCCCAGACACCTGTGGTACAGGGTTCATTTTAGATGAGGTGAATCACAGCCGTACTGACAGCAGGGAATTACTATTATTCTCTTGAGGTGGTATTTAGTTACACCAAAATAACATTATAATTTTATTGCAGTGAAAAGAAGCTCACTGATTTCCAGCTACATATCCTTATTGCTTAATGCATTTTGAACTGGCCTTTCATTTAGCTCTGTGAAATCACATTTTAAGAGTCACTTTACATTTTCAGGGAACATCAGGCCACAAAGTTCTAAATTATGAATAATGTGCAACGCCACATTTAGCTGCAAGCTATGAAGGTACCCAGCCAAAGTAGCCTGCTTTACACATTATGCATTCAACATTTTCTGTCTGCTCATTATTTTGGTCTTACTCAATTCACTCTCCCTCTACTCCCACCAAAATCCAAAACAGTACGTTGCTTATGATCTTCCAATGGTGAATACTTTAATAGGTTCAACAATTCTTTGATGTTCCAGCAACCACCAATCATTTAAAAAAAAATAAAAATCTCTTCTACACACTTGTTTAGACCATTCTTTGGCACAGACTGCAGTACAGATTTTTTTAAAAAAGAAAGTGCATAGCAATATCTGGAAGATATCCAGGACTTTAGAAGTAGTGACTTTGGACACATTCCCTCACCCCCAGTTAATTTAGCAATTATTTCACTAATAATCTACCAAAAAAAAAAAAAAAAAAAAGTGTCTGTTTAGGATCAAATAGTGATTTTACCATTTTTTATCTGTCCAGCCAACTAATCTCAGATCAAGCAGATCTTTGATTAAAAGGTTTTTGCTTGTCTGTTTGTTTTTATATTACTAAGCTGTAATACCAGGTTAAACAACAAAACAAAACGAAACAACACAAGACCAAAATAAAATAAGCACTTTCTTCTCTGAACATCTGAAAAATAGAAGTCCATCAGTGTTTTGGTCAAAGCAAGAGACAGCTTCAGGTGGAAGCACAGACTACTCTGTTTTCCTTCTCTTCTTCCTCTAAACTGCTGCAAATGGATTAGAAAAAAGTTTGTTTGTTCATTTTATTTACAAATACTTAAATATTATATTGCACAAAATTTAAACACAAAGATTAAAATTTTATTTGTTCTTTAGTAGGTAATCACCCAGAAACCCCCTCATACTTCAGATCAGTCTGATTCCCACATTATTTTTTATACCCCAGTTTAACAACTGCACTGAAATTATAGTGAAAACTTCATACAGTATTTTCATTACTATTTCTGAAGTCATACACAGTCCTAATCAATACTAAAAATAACAACCCCACACTCTCATAGCATAAATTCTCTCAGTTAGTCAAAGCTGTCAAAAATTATATATGTATCTACAGCTCTGAAAGAAAACCAACCAACAAGTGTTCATGATAAGCAAATAGTATAAAAATAACCTCAAAGATGAGACTGAGCAACAGGGTTCTTAAATAACCCTGCCAGAAATTTATACTTCAAAGAAGGCTTGAAAACTACTCAGAGGAGAACAATGCTGTCAGCATCCAAAGACAAATTTCGTATTTTAAACAGTTCTCCTTTCTGGCGTAAAATGAAATGCATAATTCATATTTAACAAAGTCTATTGCTTGAAGGGTAGGATGAAAGCAAGAAGCACTGGTCTGAGTGCTGCTGCTCTGGACCTAACACTGCCAAGACACTTGGAGATCCTCTACCCTTTTTCTCCTGTCCTCCCTTTCACAGCGTAGATGTTAATCCTATAGGAAGGATTAGGTGACTATAAAAATAGCTTCAGAGCATAAAGATAGCCCTTACACCTGGGTTTTCTAGCTTTCACTTTGCTGTTCAGCTTAAACTGGGTAGTTAGGAGGTGTTGGAAGAAGCATGATTTGTCATCCCTACATATCAGGTCAAAACAAAGAAGTGACACTTTTAAACACAGCAGCCACACACTCCCACGACTACTTTTAAGCATGCAGATCCCCACTCTGTACCTACAGCCACCAAGTATCCCCCCCGCCCCCCCCATTTGGAGGGAGGGTGTAGAAGAGACAAATTTTCATGATAACCCAAAGGCACCTCATTCCTTTTAAGATATTTTCCATTTGAACGGAGTTGAATGCTCCACTTCTGGCACGTATCCCACACGCTTTTGCACAGACTGAGCACATACCATCAAAGGCAGGATCGAGGCCAAGTGCAGTAACAGAATAAGTCTCTTATACTGCCTTAAAAACAGGCGATTGATCATCTGCTCTGTGTGTACAATAAGACTATTTAGTGTTCCTTTCTTTCAGGATTTTAGCGGACTGCTTTCCCACTTTACACTCACGACATACGCTGTATTCCCTTTAATGCCAGTGCTTGCCTTCCACAGTGCCTGGTGTACAGTTTTACCCTTCAGTTGATTTTGTTGGTGGTGGCAGCATCTTTTTTAAACAGTGTGATTGTAAGGTATGGTGCTTTTTACTTCAGATGTATTTTACTCCAAACACCTGCCCTTAAAAAAAAAAATGCAGCAGCAAAGTTACACTTCTTTCCCCAACCTGTCAGCTACAACAAACAAGACTACTTCAAAACTGACTATTTTAGGAATGTGACTGCTAAACAAAAATCCACACAGCAAACAATTATCGGGGGGGGGGGGGGGCAAAGAAGGATTTTAATAACCATCTCATTTACTTGCATTTCTATCACAGTCTCCAAAAGAAACTTGCAGTTTTCTACAGTTGAACAGACACAGATTTGTTATTGTAACCATGCTCTTTGATTTCTGATCATGACAAACTGGCTTATGTCAAAATATTTTCTACAATAGGCAAAAGCAGAAAGATTGCTCGAACTAGACTTTAAACTCTCTTCCAATGCCCAAAATCAACTTAAAAATCAACTCAAAATTGCCAACAGTAAAATTCAGGTGAAAATTAAAACACTTAGCGAGAAAAGA